GTCTCGATTTCAAATTTGACCGTTCTCAGAGCATGTTTTTTAGTATTGAAAACACTTAAACATAAACACCATAGACAGGTAATAGCGGAAATTAACTACATAGATAAGGAAAGTTGACGATGAAAAGCTGAAGTCATTTCGTTTGTCATACAGTTTAGTTGTTATTCAGCCGTTACCGGCTTAAGTCAGTAAAACACCCAAATATGAAACAGACGGAACAGACATTGTGGTATCTTTTAGTTGGAGTTCTCTGAGATATATCGAGACGAAATATGAATGGACGAAACTATTGTTAATTGATAAACGTCGTCGATATATCTGAATGTCCAGTTTAGGACCACAACAAGTGTTTTTTTTCTTCTCGTGAAGACGTTTTTGAACAAATCCTGCTTCATTTGAATATAAAAACAGTTCGGCTAATAAAGAAGAACAATAAGTTATTTAAATAATATATATGATGAATAGTATTCAATAAAACATATCTTTTAAGTTTTTATTTGTATAAAATGTGAAGATATTGAACAGTGAGGTTTCTCAAAAATTAATTTAATGTAAAAAGTCGAGATAGCTACAGTGATCAATCTCATGAATACAGTAACCAAAACTAATCGTAAACAGGACTACAACACGGACCCCTGGAAACACCAGAGGTGGGATCAGGTGCCTAGAGGAGCAAACGTCCTCTGTCGACCGGTCACAGCCGCCGTGAGCCCTAAGTATTGATCAGGTCGACGGAGAATTCCGTAGACAATTTAGTGAGAAAAATATGTTGACTTTAAATGAAATTGTTGATATCTTTGTATCATCAACTTGTTTTTCAATTGCTTACCTCGTTTTGAATATTGTTCGTAAGTATCGAATTCGAACCAAATGGGTGACAAAAACTCTATATGCAAGTGTTAATGGTATATTGCTACATATAAAGGGAAGTTGGCGAGAGAAAAGTTTAAGTCATCCCATTCATCATAATGTTTGATTCTTGCTATCAATGTTTTTTTTCTCTGGTAAAACATCCAAATATGAAACAGATGTGTCAAGCTCTATGGTGAGTGATGATACATCTGTTGCCAATGCAAGAATAGGTTAAGTCCCTACTCTGACATAACTATTTAAGAAAACTGCACGGGAATGGCTTGAAGTTCTTTATAATGAAGTTTTGATCATGTTTTTTAAATGAAAGGTCAGTTAGGTTTTGTGCAATAATTGTCAGTTTATGATCTGCCGTAATGCGTTCCTGAACTTAACATCGTGTAAAACAACGTCAGGCACTGTCAAACGCAAAGAAGGAAGGCATGAGTGCTCTAATAGGCTATATTTAGCGTGAAAGAATGGTGTGCACTGTGCATGTTAATATCATATTTTTACATTTAGTATTGTTTTATAAACAATATTTTACAGATTAAAAATAAAGTCTTAGTTGCACATTATACGTTTGTCTGCTTGTCTGTAATTTTAATGGTTGCAATTCCTTGTCTGTGATTCTAATGCTTTCAATTCACTTTACACCGCCGAAATATGGCTGGAATATTGCCGACTTGGCGTTGAACAATAAAAATAAAAATCAATCAATATTTTTTTATCATCACTTTCTATACCTCAGTCTTTTGTAAAAGAAATATGTTTAAATGAAGGGGATAAGTTAGTCTTATTTTGAAAATGAATTTAATCTTTGAAAATCTTCTCTATTCCTCTGGTAAATGTTGTTAGCTAACAGTGTACATATTTATGATGAAGCAATGACCGAACTCTCGTCCATAATTGTTAAATTCATAACTCTTATTCAATGTTAATGTCGGGAAGCTGGAATTTGAAAAGTGAGTCATATACTAGTATTGAAATTCATTCTTTATAACTATCAAAAAAGAGGAAAAACAATATGCAAGTTTTAATTTGGAATGACGTTCAGCCCCCATGGTGATGCTCAGCCCCCATTGTGATGCTACATTAATCATGTGATGGAAATGAGCGTCTATATCTTTATAATGTCTCTTTTACATCTTGAAGCTTTGCAGATAATCTAGCCACATGAAAATAATATGAAATCAGCTCTCAGCCAAGGTTGTGAAATTCATAATCCCTGGAGTCTGTTGTCGAATTTAATATAAAACAAAGGTCGAACAATTGGTATGAAATATGTTAGTAAAAATACGACCAAATGATAGGTTTTATTTGCTAACAATGTCATTATAACGACCATGCTGACTTTAAACAAGTTTGTTGAAATCCTTGTAACATCAACTTATTTATCTAGCCTGTCTCGGTTTAAAAAAAATGGTCAGTAAAACATCCAAATATGAAACAGATGTGCCAGATATCCAGTAGACAAACATTTCATATGGTTATTATAAGAAAAAGATTCTCTTTTTAAAAATTGTTAAATTCAGGAGAACTTAAAATACAAGAACATTGAATCTAGGAATTTTTTTCATAAAATATATAATGTAGTGTTAAAAAAAGAAGATGATAGTCATTCCCAAGTTACAGAGTTATTTTTCAGAGGTTCTTGTTTGTTTGTTTGTTTGTTTGTTTTTTTTTTTTTTTTTTTTTTTTTTTTTTGTTTGTTTGTTTTTTTTTTTTTTTTTTTTTTTTTGTTTGTTTGTTTGTTTGTTTTTTTTGTTTGTTTGTTTGTTTTTCATCTGAAAAATTTACGCACGAAAATTTCTAATTTCGAGTCAGATACACATACGTTAATGAAATAAGAATATAAAAAATCTTGTTTTGCAAAATATTTTATCTATACAATGACCTTGTTTAAGTCATTAAATCGAATGCAAACTAACGTCATTCATACAATCTGTTAGGTCAATATTTTCAAACTGAATTGTTTACAGAATTTTTCCGTTATGATAAGTAATATAAGGCGGGATGCTCACATCTCCACGACGCCTGATCCCACCTGTTCCAGAGGTCCGTGTTGGCTCTGTTTATACATTAATTTGTATTGTTTAAAAGGATTTTTGAGAATGATCGCTTTTCGTTATCTCTTTCAATTTTATTGATTAAACTGAAAAAGATATGTCTCGTCTCCTTTTGATAAATGAAAGCAACAGAATGTTTCATTGATGTTTATGATAAAAAAAAATACTTTGAATAATACATATAATAAATCATTCTTATTGTTTAAATGAATAATAATGTATTCAGTGGTATGGAGATATTTGCACTAATTAAGTACTTGATTTTGTGTATAATTTTTGTCCATGTTTTGTGCACTTAAAGTCAGAAGTTGATCTGTCGTAATGCACTTTTTAAGCGGACGCCGTGTAAAACACCATCGGACACTGTCAAAAACGAAATGGAGGTGTGAGTGACAAAGGCTGTACTTCCGAGTTGTCTGTAATTATCTCTAGCAGAATAAATGGAGTTTTAATCTAAATTAAAAGGGGCTAAAACTATATGAAATTTTGCAAGATAATTTAATTACTACAGGCTTTATCGTTTATATAAATATTTTGAAAGATGAAGTTAACAAACGGATCATGGGAGTTTTTTTAACATTTTTTCTTAGTTTCACAAATGGCTGCAGGGTATCGTTGTACACCCTCAATCATTCTTTATACTAATTTCCAACTGTGCTATATTTCGTAGGAGTACTTGGGTAAAAGAAATTGACATATGTATAAAGATTGATTGTATGTTGTTTAACGTCCCATTCGAAAAAATTTTCACTCAAATAAAGGCGTCACCGTATACTGGTGAATGGCTTCAAATTAAGACTTATACTCGGGACTCAGGGCCATTGAGCAGTGAGGGTTCTTTTTCGTGCCAACGCTTGCCGTGACACGGAACCTCTGTTTTTAAGGTCTTATCCGAAAGACCCGTGACTTTCACTTCTAGTTCTGGGCGCTTGGCGAAGGAACAGTCACTACTTATGTTTACGTCTTAGGTTTGACGCAGCGCGGCGCACGACAATCGAACCCGGGCCTCCCGATCACGAAGCGAGCGCCCTACCACTAGGCTACCGTGGCCCATATGTATAAAGAAAGGACTGATTTATCTTCCCAGGATTGATCATAAGAGTAAGGGTACTACTGTATAAGAGATGTCCTTTTAAAGACCAGGCTTGAAGCGATGGAACAGAAAAATAGACATATTTCAAATTTCCATATATGGACATATTTCAAAAGTTTCAAAGCGCAGTCTAGATTCTTTTTGAAACATATAGAAATAAGTGCGAGATCAAGTTTTATAAGTACAGATATATACACATCCTATACTACATATCCGAGGTTGCTTAAATCATAGCTTATTGTTAAAAATGTCTCGTATTTTTCATTAAATTAAAACGAAATTCGTAAATATCTATACTTTGGAAAAATACATCTTAATTATGGGTATGTACATGCAATCCTGCTCAGGCTAAGTACCCTGTGGTATGGAAGAGACAAGAATGGGTCTAGATGAAACAAAAGAGATTCTAAATTGTAACATTCAAATCCGAGGCCTTATTTTTAAGAAAACTGAAATGTATAAAGAAAATTTTTCCTTTATTTCCTTTATAATACATGTAAATGATTTGAGCCAACGTATTTTCAGAAATAAATATGATTATAACTATGCATTATTTGAAAACTGTTCTGTTGAAACAATACATAAATTTCCAAAGTAAAAATGATGTACTAATTTAGATTGTATCAAGAAAGAGAAAAAAATCTGTGTGACCAGTATAATACCTTACACTAAAAGACAAAAAAGTTTGTTAAATTCAGATGATAATCGATTTTGTAATTATGTAAATATTTGCTGTTAATTGAGAACAATTCAAAATTCAATTTTGAATAATAAGTTCTCGAAAAGTTTATTAATTACGTTTTCTAAAATCAAAAGTAAAGGAAATTGCATGCATTCACATGTTTATTTTTTTTTTAAAAGTATATAATTTGAATAAAATGTTAAAATGTACTAAAGGTACATTAAGTAAAATTCATTACAATTTGCATTCCAACAAACAGTATAAATATCCCCAAACTAAGGTGTTTAAAGCACAGTTGTTCTTGACTTCAACGTATCAACAGCCATGATCCGAGCTCTTCTTCTCCTGGGGGTCTGTGTCTCCACAATCTACTGTAGCGGATATCGACGTAAGTCTCTCTCTCTCTCTCATTAAAACGATACTGATAGAATTACATGTTCAGTTCTTCGAATTATTGGGAATCACTTATCAAACATTACTATACTTTAACTGGTACTTTCGAAAATAAAATTTCCCGTCCTTTTATGTTTCTTTTTTTTTTCTCTTTTTTTTTTTCTTTTTCTTTTTTACAAACAACATTACAGTAACTGTATAAACTTTTAATCTAGTCTAAAATAGTTTATTTTTATTCAGATTGAAATTGTACCGAAGCCCGTTGAGGCCAGTTCAGAGAAAGAAATATTTTATTGCGTTTAAAAGCAAAAACTATTGCGTTTAAACGCAAAAGATTGCGTTTAATCGCAATGTATATTGCGTTTAAACGCAAAACACTTTGCGTTTAATCGCAAAAGATTGCGATTAAAAGCAATCTTTTGCGTTTAAACGCAATAACTTTGCGATTAAACGCAATAGTTTTTGCGTTTAAACGCAATAATATTTTTGCGATCAAACGCAACAATTTTGCGATTAAACGCAATAGTTTTTGCGTTTAAACGCAATAATATTGCGATTAAACGCAATACTTTTGCGATTAAACGCAATACTTGTGCGATTAAGCGCAATAATTTTTGCCTTTAAACGCAATACTTTTGCCTTTAAACGCAATAATCTTTGCGTTCAAAGGCAATAATCTTTGTGTTTAAAGGCAGTCATTTGTATCAAACCTTGCAGAGTACAATGGACCCACGCATTCTTATATCTTTTATTCCTTTCTTCTTCTTTTTTTTACTTATTAGAAAATTGTGCATTGTCTAGCTTTATAGAATCGGTTTCTCCGAACAAACACTCTCTGAAAGGATAAATCACTAATAAGAATTTAAAGAGGAGAAAAAAATGTCGGGTTGTAAAAACAAAGGCAACCTAAGAACGAAACATGTCTTAAGCTTATTATTCTCTACATTCTTAATGAAGTTTTGGTCAGTTGCTCTGTTAAAAAAAAACTGTCACCTACGTTGCGGTCACAAGTTTAATCCATGTATAAAGGGATTTTAGGAAAGGACTGAGGAAATGTTGGAATTACGTACAACATAATGAAGTATTTAGATTTAAATGTACATTCATAACCCCTCCTATGGTTGCATACAGTAAACACAAGAATATATGTGATAAATTTATATGAGATCAAAATCAAAATCAAATGAAAAAAGATTGATCGATGTGTACTACATATACCAAATTGACAAGTGCTATTAATACATGTACCACTGAAACATTCTCTATAAGTTGTGATATACGTAAGCAATTGATCAGAGACTTCATTAAGAGTGTTGGGGTCTAATACATTTAAGACATTCAGGTTGTTAGGATGCCATTGTTTTACTACAATTTTCAAAAACTGGAAAATTTTGCAAAAAGACACAGAACAAATCGGATCTTCTTAAAGGTCGGATCCTAGTACATGTAATTATAAGCTTTGACTAAATCCTCATAAGTAAGGATTATTGCGTTTAATCGCAAAAGCATTGCGTTTAATCGCAAAAGCATTGCGTTTAATCGCAAAAATTATTGCGTTTAAACGCAAAAATATTATTGCGTTTAAACGTAAAAAAAGTATTGCTTTAATCGCAAAAGTATTGCGTTTAAACGCAAAAGATTGCATTTAATCGCAATCTTTTGCATTTAAACACAATGATTATTGCAATTAAACGCAATCTTTTGCGTTTAAACGCAATAATTATTGCCTTTAAACGCAATAAAAAATATTTCTTTCTCTGAACTGGCCTCAACAGGCTTCCGTACTTCATAGCCTTTCCAAGTAATTTCTTATTCATCGTAGATTGTTCTAAATTTTAATTTGGAACCAAATTTCTTTTCAAAGTTTTCCAACATTCAGGCGTTTTTTATTCAAGAAAGCCTTACACAATTGATTTGTATAATTATATCTACTTTGACAGCGGGATACAGAGGTGGAAAAATCGGAGGTGGAGGAATAGGGGGAGGAATCGGAGGAGGAATTGGTGGAATCATTGGAGGTAGAGGAATTCCTAGTGGTCACATCGGCGGCAGAAGTCAGTGGAGCCACCAGTCCTCCTGGCAGTCCGGTAGTCATGGCGGTATTAGTGGTGGTCATGCTGGTGGCATTATTCCAGGAGGTTCCGGAGGAATAATCAGAGGTGGCCATGGGGGTAGTGGATGTGGACCTAACGGATGTAAAAACTACGGACGTAAATAGGTTAGTAGTTATAATATAGAAATGGCGGTTTCCATGGTAGAAATTGTCAACATCTGTTTATATGTAAAGATTGGATTTATATTTATATCGTGACTTGTTTCATATATTTTATTTTTAAGGCAATATGTTTTCTTTATTTTCAGATCGCTCTCAGGGAAACCTCTTATTTACTTATTTATTTGAATTTGATGCCAGTATTATCTACGTAGTAAATTGTTTTCTGTTAACTTCTCAATAAAGTATATAAAAAGTCCTTGCGTTTTTTTTTGTGGGAAAGAAAAACCAAAAAGAAGTCAATTTTAAATATGTTTGTGATAATTCATTCCGATATTATTGAAGAGTTTTTCAATGAGTGGAATTGATCATTTGGATCCATTGATGCAATCAATCAAATGTATTATATATATATATATATATATATATATATATATATATATATATATATATATATATATATATATATATATATATATATATATATATATATATATATATATATATATATATATATATAAAGCACTAAAATGACCAACGACACGAACAATAAAAATTGTCAAATTTTCAATTTTCGGGACGACCTGTCCCTTCCTCAGGACAAAGAAAAAATTTAAGAAGTCATAAAACAAAGGAAACAGAGAAACAAAAACAAATAGCACTACTACTAAACTACCAAATACTAGAGTACACCCGATAGACCGGACGCAATTCATAGCGCTCCGGATTTCTTTCTTCACAACTGTTTATAAACTTCAAATTAAACATGTAACACTGTAAATATTTAGTGTTTGGTAGTTTAGTAGTAAAAAAATATCTTCCTGTATTCGTAAGATGAAGTGCCTACCAGTTAATTTCAACTTCTTTTCCCATCTTTACGTGAACCACTTCACTTTTTTACTTTACTTGCTTCCTATACTTAGGAGTAATGTTTCCTATTTAACAGCTCATTAAATATCAGGATACATGTCTTCAAAAACCCGGATATGATTTATTTTCTCAGCATTTGAATAACTATAGTACGTAGAATGTTCACCTTGGAAGTACAAAAAAGATCAATTTTACTTCTTTTTTTTTTTTAAAACATACTCTATCCTTGCCTCATGTAAAAATGAAAAAAAATTTACTCTATCAAATGGATAAGAATGAATAGATTTTAAAGTATATAATGCAGACACGAATTTAAGAGGGTGGCAGAACACATGTACATGCGCCCCACCCCTTCCCCTGAGAGAGCGATAAAGAGGATGTTATCCCATTAAAACGTTGAAGATAAAATAAATTCATCGAAAATGAATTCCTTATCTTCAATAATCAGTGCTAGGTGACGGATTTGTTTTTGTAAATTAAGCTCTCAGTTTTTCAGTATTTAATGATTGAAGATTTGTCAAATATTTATTTATCTGCTTGAGACTTTTTCCGATAAGGGTTTTTTTTTTTATTTTGTAGAAGATAAACACATTGTAAATAGGTTTTGCAAGCTTTCAGAGTATATCGTCAAAGACTGCTTTGAATTAAAAATAAATGAAGACAAAAAATTACCACCCCTCCACACCACCACCACCACCATTGTGAAAACCTTGTTTACCCCTCAATATAGATAAATACCGTCAAAAGAATTCACCTACATTACTATTTGCATTTTTTTTTTAAAAGGAAGAAAGCAAAAGGGAAGGAAATTACATGTCAATTATATTAGGTTATATATGTTGTCAATATAATTAAAGAAAAGGTGGTCATAGTATGGAATGGGCAGTCCTAAGACGGGACGATAACCATTCTCAAGCGGACCACACAGAGAGATACATGTTCTTGTTTATATAAATGCTAATAAATTATTATTAGCTTTATCAATTGCGCTATTTATATTTCAATTTCTACTGAATATTTAGAGAATATATCAGTAAATATTTTCCATAAATCAAATTATTTCTGTATTAAATTCATTCTTGTTTAAATAAGAAGTGTTTTTTTACTGCTGAGAATTAAGTCATTTATCCACGAGAAAGATCACTTAAAAGAGAAGGGAGATCATCATTACATGTATGTATATGGTCATAATATGTTCAAAATAATTTTACAATATGATCTGACATGAATAAGCTTTAAATATAGAACCTATTATCTCTAGGAGTGTAAAAAATGTGTCACAATGCCCAGTAAGGTATTTAAATAGTATATAATGACTCAGTTCATTTAAAAGGGAAAACTTCAGTAAAGGTCAGACAGTCTATGTGGTAGCTGTACTATTTATTTTTAGGATATTTATTTTAAGTGGTGTATATTCTTCTCATTAATCATTTTATTCATTCATTCTCTCATTCATATAGAGGTGCGCAATACTTTACTAACGCTTTATGTTGTTGTAATTATGAACCTTAACACCCCTTTTTTTAAATGTAGTATTCCATGTCAGGTATGTGCAGAATGGATTATTCCGTTATTTCTCGTACTACTTGGTGGGGTTGCATGGTACACACACAGAGAGAGATATATCTTTAGTTGGTTTGAACATATTTTATTGTAATTAATAAATACAATGGGATTGGGCACAAGTTCTGAAAACTTATTACGCCCTCTCCCTTCATGTAAATTACACATTTCAATCGTCACAGTTAAACATGAAGTTTTAAAGTATACAATAATTGCAAAAGTTTACAAAACGATGCATTTTGCTGATATATAGATACACTTAATTTTGTACCAATGCATTTACTGATACATTAGTTAATGCTAACAAGGAAATCTACCAGAATGTTTAATAAATGATTGAACAAAAGAAAAGAGACGTTCATTTTCTGCAGCATTCAATGAATCTACCCCCCATAATAAGACATGAGTATCTAGAATGTGGATCTTGTCAAATTGTAAAAATTTATTTAAGAATTCTTTTCTGGCTTTCTCATACTTTGGACATACAAAAAAATAATGATATGTATCCTCAACTTTACCACAGGAGCATAAAGGACTTGATATTAAATTGCATCTATAAAGGTCGCTATTCAATACGCAATTATGCCGTAGTCTGGTTTGCAGAACATTTAGTCGTCTGTTACCGTAATCAAAGTATGATGGTGGAGCAGATTTTTTAGTACTAATTTTAGATTTGAATTTTGACATTGACTGTATATTTCGAATTTCGAGTGGAATTGAGTTCCATTCATTAACTACTGTCGGAATAAATGTAGACTTATAGGTTTGTAATCGACATTTTGGAATATCATAATTTTGAGAATTTCTTGTAGAGTATATAGATGTGTTACAGCGCATATCTGGAAGTATGTCCATTAAGTATTCAGGCACTAAATTATTATGAATCTTGAACATAGTTTTTATTCTAGCTTCTTGTCTTCTACAACTAAGAGGTTCCCATCCCGTTTCAAAGTATAGTGAATCTTTAGAAGCTATAGTTGTTAACCCTGTTACAATTCTAGCAGCATAAAGTTGCAGTTTTTCTAACTTGTCGTTATCACTATATTGACAGCATCCCCATACCACTGAAGCGTATTCAAGTTGCGGTCTTATAAATGACGTATACATGAGTGAGTGATCTTTAGTATCTAGAGAGAGAGAGGGGGCTGGAATTGGCGGGAAGTGATTCTTTAATATCTGAGAACTGGTTTTAGATGAAGTACGAAGATAACGAATAGTAATCAAGCTCAAAAGTCCTTTGAAACAATACAAATTTAGAGCATAGTTAACGCGGACCTCTAAAAACATCAGAGGTTTGATCCATGTGCATAGATATGGCGTGATGTACATGTGGCAATCACAATTTTAATGATTTTCAGAATGTTAATACAAACGAATTAGATATGCATTTTCATGATTCGTTTCAAGATAGTTCTTATATCAATGATTCAATTAACTCAGATGAAATTTGAAAGAGGTGAAGACAATTAAGAATAATATAGATCGCCAGAGCCCGAAATTGTCGTTAATGAGTACATTAGTCATCTATTAATATCATGATATCCCGGTAAGAAACACTATTTAATTTATTATTGGATACTGGTGTTGTCCCAGAGGCATGGTTAGTTGGGAATATGAAACCAATCTATAAGAAAAAAGGTATAGTTATACCGGCGATCCACAAAACATTGCTAAGTTGTCTTGGACAAGCATTTACGTCTGTATTGTGGAGCTAGATGACTAACTGCAGGTAATGTTGACTTTATCAAGGAGACCTAGAGTGATTTTTAGGACAAGTTGTCCTACTGTTGACAACATTTTCGTATTTTATTCATTGATAGAACTGTCTTTACTAAGGAGAAAGAAAATGTTTTGTGCCTCCATTGATTTTAAGGCTGCATTTAATAAAGTATAGCGAGAAGGGCTGTGGGAAAAAAACTACTTGTAATCACTATAGATCTAGATCATTTTTTAACTGAATGTTTTCAGTGGGAAAATTTATCTCTTATCCTTTTTGCATTTATTGATATGATTTAGAATATTTTTAAAGCAAGAAAACGTTATTAGACTGAACTGCCTGTCTAAAGAAATTGAACAATAACAATAAGATGTTTATTTAAGAATTATGATAATGTTGTATGCGGATGATACTGTATTGATGTCTGAAACTAAGGATGGCCTTTAATGTCAACTAAATTGCGTTCAAAAATATTGTGAAAAAATGGAAATTACATACAAATGTTGATAAAACTAAACTTTCTGTTAATTGAAGACAGTCTTCAAACGTAGCTGTTTTGTATAATAATAATAATGAAATTGAAATTGTAAAGGAATTTCAATATTTAGGAGTGTTTTTCTCAATACCCGCTTCCTTTTAAAGTACAAGGAAATAAGTTGTACAAAGAGCATGCAACCAGAGTTATGCCATAATTAAAAAATCCCTAGAACTGAATCTGTCTATTGACTGTAATATTGATGTGTTTGGTAAAATGTTAATCCCCTTTCTTCTCTATGATTGCGAGATATGGGGCTTTGTAGATCACATGAAAAAAAGGTTGTTGACTGTATTTAAGCAAACAGTACTTGATTTCAGCAGACATGGACTTCAGATTGTACTACATATACATGCAGTAAAGGCAGAATTTATCATTTGTTCACCAATAGTATTTCTACGTTTAGAAACAACTTAGATACCAATGTATCAAAGAATACTAAATTAACATTAGTAATATTTAGAACTAGTAATTATGAATTACCAATTGAGACAGGTAGATGGAACAATGTACCTTTAAATAAAGAAAAAACTCTGTACTTTATGTGAAAATGATATTAAAGACGAGTACCATT